CTATTTCAAGTCTTTTTTCTACCCTTTGTGCTCGTACACTGCCTACCAAGAGACCATTCCAACGTCACCTCTGATAGTGTCATACCAGGTCTCAACTCTTTGGCCTCTTTTTTACTGCCATCTAGGGATTGGATTGGGAGGTGGTGTAATGCGCGTAACGTCGTGTAGACGCCTAACGGGTGCATCAACCAATGCAATTGGCACCAGATTCTGGCGTTGGACATATGACCAATAAATTATTTAGTAGATGATTTGCAAACGTCACCGGTCGAAATAGTCTAGTTTACTCACGTTTTCGACTCTTAAGGTCCAGCTCTTATCCATAAATGAAGACAGCAAGCGGCTCTTGCACATTTGGTTCATTCATCTACGAGCTGATGTCGTAAGTTTCAATTGATCAAGCGTTTCAGCAGCGTAAAGTCATTATTATTGCTGCTACCCAGCCGTAATCTCATCTTTTGGCCGTCTACTGGGACGGATGGAGGAGCCAATATATGCGAAGCGACGGCTTCCAGGAGAGTCGTACACAGAATGATTGCTTTCCTTTGTTCTGCCGTTGAAGAATCTATTCACTTTTGCTGCGTTCATTAATCCCTCCGATTTCATGTTTTCGCTTAAGACGATATCGGGCATCGACTTAAGGATGATATCGTCAGCCCAGTCAAGATCAGTGATATCAATGCAGGGATAACTTAGATGTCGGTGGCCCCTTCAGTGCAAATCGCATTGTTCAATCAGTGACGAAGTTGCAGGAAGTAGGGGAGAGAATGCAGCCCTGAGGGGCCCAAGAAGCAATACCAAAGAAGTCCATCGATTTGCCATGGGCCTAGACTCTTTGCTCGTGTCCTGCGATAGCATGCTTTAATCAGGTTTTCAAACTTCTGAGGAGCTCCATCCATTTCTGTGATGCGCCACGGAGGATCTTGATGAATTGAATCGAAGAATGAACAAAGCAGACAACGGTGGCTGTTGAAAAGAGTACCTCTGTTCAAGCACACGGTGTAGCGCGAATATTTTGTCAATGACGCTGACCTTCTTCTTGCGCCAAAACTTGCTTGATCTAGTCTTGTACGTGCGTCACGATTTGCTTGGAAATTCAACAACAGTAATGTGGCGTAAATTTTGCTCACCGCGCCAGTTTAACTTAATCCATGATAGTTCACGCTGTGTTTTATCATTCGTTTAGAAGAGCGGGAGCACCAGCGCGTTATGGAGTGTTGTGGCACTCACTCTTTACTACGAACATGACAAAGCAGTTCTTAGAAACGGTCGACGATTTCGGGCCCACTCTTCTGATATAGCTCTGCTGACAGGTTCATCCATAGGCTATGTACTTCAGCGACTTCTGTCGCTCTGCAGTTGATGTAGGTTTTAAAATGCGTTGCTCGTCAGCTGTACCCACTGCTTTATGTAATTGTGAGTCATCTGGACATCTGGATTTAGGTGGTTGAGGAAGGTTCACAGTGGCATTTATGCTGATCATTGCTAGTCATGAAATTCTGTACGAGGCAGACGAGGACACTGTGTATAGATTCGTTCATCGGGTTTCTAATCAGCGCCGAATTCCGATTGGTTGATAAAACTTCTGCTTCGCGATCTGAAAGAATGAGCGGTCATCGAAACTGATCGACACATTGGTAAAGCTTTCCTTTGTCCCCACGCCAGCTGCATGCTTTATGGCCCTAACTACTTGTTTTGATACCAGTTTTAGCTGTTGACTCCGTACATTCGTTTGTGTGCGATATTCCAGTCGTTTTTGCGGTTTCTCTTGTGGTTAATTATGTTAGCTGTGGAATGATGCAGGCCTGCATCAGATACTATCACCTTTCTTTTTCATCGCAGGT